GTAAGGGCAAACAAATAAGGTTTACAATAAAGTCTTTATTTTGAATGGTCAGTACACAGTTGAGACATATTCTAGAAGTAAGGGTTGGTTCAGCAGTAGGCACAGACACAAGCAAATCATAAGGCAAAGGTGTCACAACTAAGTTCAGATCCTTGACACATTCATTAGAAATAAATGAATGAGTGGCACCTGAATCAAATAGTACAGTTAAGGACTTACCTCCCATTTTACCTTCACCCTGTATAAGATCTTCAGATTTAGAGGCTTCTGCACCACTCAAGGTGAAGACTCTTCCACTAGTTACAGGTTTCTGGAATCCTATCCTTTGTTCTCTAGCTACTGATGTCTTGTTTTGAGGACAATCTCGAGCCAAATGTCCTGGTTTGCCACACACAAAGCACACTTGGCCTGGTAAGGAACAATCTTTGGTTAAATGTCCTTTCCCACATTTCCAGCATTTCAAAGTTGATTGCAGAGTTGATTGCTGAAAGGGTCTATTACTTGCTTTAATAGATTCAGCCCCTCTATATCCTTTGAACTGTTGAGGTACAGGTTTGCTATAGGGCTTTTGATATTGATTGGTTTTGCTCTTCTGTATTGGCCCTCCTCTAAACATACCACTTTTATTTCCAATGTCCTTGTTTCTATGAGTCCTGTCCATATCTTCTATCACTTTACATCTATCCATCAACTCTGGAAATGATTTAATGCCCAATGGAGTAACTGCCCTTCGAATCTCATATCGGAGCCCTTCTTCAAATTTCTTGCATTTCCATTCTTCATCTGAAGTGAGTTGTAAATATCTGGAATATTTTGCCAAGGATTCAAATCTGGCAGTATATTCTGAAATTGTCATACTTCCTTGATAAAGTTTATTGAATTCCACCTCCTTTGCGTTCCTTGCACTGGTGGGAAAATATTTCTCTAAAAACATGGTTTTAAATAATTCCCAAGTAACTTTTTCTCCTTTATTTTCCAACATTTTCAAACTTGCCTTCCACCATACCTTCGCATCACCTTGTAGTTGGAAACTAGCATGGGATACTTTCCGTTCATCCGGACATTCCATAGCTACAAAAATATCATCTAAGGTCTGAATCCACTCTTCAGCCTTCTCAGGATCATATTCTCCTTTAAAATATGGCGGATCATTTTTCTTGAAGTCGGCTAAAGTTGTTTTATCTACAGTGGCATGATGCTGGGGCAAAGCTGGCTGAGTCAATGCAGCAACCATTTCCCTTATGGCTTGTGCCACATCGACCATAGGATCACGTCGAGGTGGCATTTCGACCTACAGTTTATTTCACTAAGTTAACGTCTGGTGATAGAAATTATTCCTATCTTATATTTAAAATTTTTCTATACAAACAACATTTTCCTACTCAACTTGTACTCACAAGCCCTAAAGATGCATAACCAGAGCTCTGATACCACTAATGTAACCCCTTTTACAGATTACATTTATTAATTCTAATTTATTATCTAAGTAATATTTTCAATATTCATAGAAGGTTAATAGAAAATATACTAAGTGAACAATTAATTTAGGTAAGGTTTTATATTAAATCAAACAACAAGTTCTAGTACAAAGTTTTCAAAATATTACAAGTCATAAAGTTATACTTATATGTTATACAATTCCCATCCTAAGCTCTGGATTTTTGCATCTGACATCTATCTCTTGAATTATGTATTCCTGCATCATACGTCACCAACATCTGGAATTGAAATATTTATGGGGTTAGACATTTAATTTTATCCACAACAAATAAAGCAAACATTCATACGATAAAATCAACCAATGAAACATTCCTTCTAATAAATATACAACCGTATATAATTTAATTTAAAAATTAATTATGAGAAACAAATAAATAAATCATGGAATCATAATAGAGAATATCGTACAAATCATGAATAATTTACAATTTTATCATGCAATATGTTTATGATATGCACATGTGACTCCAAACGTAAAACTTTAAAATCATGCTTTTGACTCAAAATAAAAAAAATTATTTTTGACTCAGTGCTCCATGGAGACTCATTTGAGTGCCTAGTGGAACCAGAGCTTAACATCACCCCTGTCCGTGATTCGGCAATGTCCCACTAAACGCGAACAAGTAGACAGTGAGTCGAGTGTCAGTGCACTCGACAAGCTACCACGACACGGAATCAAATAAAGACTGGCCACTTATGGAATTGCCCATGCCCAAACACTCCCTAGACCAGAGGTCCATCCCCATAGACCAGAGGTCCTGTCTTACCTATTCTACTCCCCCATTTACTATCAGAGATTCTGGTAGCTCAATTTTTAATAATTCATTCTCTGTCTCATTTGGCCAGCCATTTTCATAGTCATATTTCACTACCAGATGCTCTTGATAGTAAATTGACTCACAAAAAATGTAAAAATTCTGTTTTACACATCATTATTCCTACCAACCGTCCTTGGTAGCAACTTAAGAGAAATTTCCAAATACTTTTCTGTAAAAACTTTTCTGTGACTTCCAGAAAACATTTCATGCACTATGTTTATGTCTCGTATGAAACAAAACAATCTATCATCAATTAAATACTTAAAAACATCTCCTTCATATATTCAAAATTTTAATTACAATTCATAGTTGTTTTAAGCAAGACAATTTTTATTAATAATTTATTTCATAGGGTTCAGTGTTTTGTCCATATCTTGAGTTCTAGACCTCATTTTAAGATGATTCCAATTGTGTTGGAAAGATAAGATAATAATCTATAACTTTGATGAAGGCACTATCCTCAACTTCTAACGTTTATTGAATCGTTTTCCTAGTAAACAAAGAGGGGGTAATATATTGTTTGACTTTATCTCCATTATACCCTTAACCTTTTTCAAAATTCCATTTATGTCCCTAATATGTGAAATGACTATTTTACCCTTGATCTTTTGCAAAAATTCCCACCTAGTCCTTTCTTCTTCCTTCGCTCGCTCAAGCGAGTACACCGGTCGCTTGAGCGAGATGGAACCCGAGAGTCCCCTTTTGTTTGAAGGCTTCGTCGCTCAAGCGAGTACACCAGTCGCTTGAGCGAGACATGACCCTTAGTCGCTCAAGCTATGTAAGTTTCGCTTGAGCGATAAAGAACCCGAGAATCCCAAATTTTTCCAGTGTCCTCGCTCAAGCGATATATTTTTCGCTTGAGCGAATTTTGCAGATTTTCATCCAGTTCGCCATTTTCGAAATCCAGGTTTCTAATTTCTCAGTTTCAATCATTCAAATTAGTTCCAAATCAAAATTAAACCATAAACATGTTCAATTTAAGTTAAAAATAACAATTTTATTATATAATTCATCCTTAATTGAAAGAATTTCAACAATATTTCAAACTTTGCAATTGATGAATAGTAATCTCCAATTACGGACATTCGTATGAATAAAACTAAACGTCTAACCCATACCTGGCTCCTTCAAAATCTTATTATTCTCTTAATTTTTTATGCTCCCTTTTCCTCCTTTCTCTCAAATTCTTCTTCTCGAATTCTGGTGCCTCTCTGTTGGATTTGTAAGTGACAGGAATTGTATGTTTTCGTGTAAGTAAGTTTTCAAATTTCTTCCTATTTATACACTTATCTTACCGACTTATAGTCCTTCTCGAATTTTCTTTAATTTTATTCTCCACCGCCTTATTTCACCGACTTAATTCAAAGGTTTTATTTACTTGATCTAAATCTACCGTCCCTGAATACCATTTCTCTCTTTTCGTGATTTTTTTTTTTTCTAAATATTTATTTATTCATTTATTTAATTTTATTATTAAGAATTATTATTAAATTATTATTTGACACAATATTAACCTTGGATTTTATTTTATAATTTTCTTAAGACAAAATTACTATAAAAATCATGTTTTATTTTTATAATAACTCTACATAATATTCGGTACATATTTATAACTTACAAAATTTATTTATATAATTGATTGCAAAATTTAGGATATTACAGTTTTCCTTCAAAATATCATTCAGAATTTATCAAAAACACATCTAATGACAAACCTGGTAATGTGTTATGAAAAATTTCATCTGATTTGTGTTGTATTTATGCTTCAATGCTTTGCTCGAGATAGATGTGATCTTAGGTGAATAAAAGACAATCAGTGGTAGGGATTATGAGAAACGAGATACAAATTGAGCGGAGAGGAACAAAGACTGTGTTCTTTTAATATGCTTAGTGTTTTTTCCACTCAGCAGATTGATCTTATTTTAATCAGAATGATGACAAAGATAATAAAATACTACTGCTATTTTCAAGAGAACAGTTAAAATTTCACGACTTCCTAAGATACATTGAACACAACTAAATACTAAGCTATAGGATATGTAATAAACAGTTACTGCTCCTATTTCCATTAGGGATGTATTTAGGGGGACTTTATTTTTTGTCATTTTTAGTGCTTTATTTGTCTTAAATATTGTTGCTTAAATATAGTCATTATCAACTTTTCTACTTGCTATTGCAAAAAATTTATTTGTAATTTTGAAGTTTGTACATTTGAATTTGGATAATCCATAGCAAATTAATTGTTAATTTAAGAAATTTATTTTCATAATTTATTTTTCATTTTCAGAAATCTTATTTATTTAATTAATTTATTCTTATAGAATAAAAATAAAATCTTCATTCTTGATAATAAGGGAATCTGCTTTATTTATTCCTTATCAAGCCATGCAATTTCATCACTTTTTAATAATCATAATTTTTTTTTAATTTATATTTAAAATATTTCCATACTTTAAAAATACTCACTCAAAGCACAAAAAATGTTAGTTAATATAATTATGTAAATTTGTTAATGTTTGTTTATTTTTTGTCATCCCTTACATGCTTTTTGGGTGCCCCCACCCCTTGATTGTTACTAGCCTTGGTATGTGTCCAACTAATTGCATGTATTATCAACATACATGATAAATTTTGAAGTATCCAAAATTCCCAGAGTCTGACTGAACCTTTTTCGCATAATAGGAGAAAGTAAAGGGTGGACGTCGTGGAAAAACTATTAATATATTTTCAATTGCTTCTGGACACCTGTAAGTGGCTCTCTTATATTAAGTTGATATTATAATTTGCTTTTAATTATGGCTGAATGGCACTTGTTGATTCCTTTACAGTTTCCTTTGAATTTTGGAAATTAAGGAATGTTTGTCACATGTATGTGGCATGGAAAAAAATAACTGTTAGGAAAAAAGTACCATGCCATCAATTTATTATGTTATGACAACATTGCCTGTTTTCTGCACCTTAATGAAATTTCTTCTTCCTCCTCATCTCATTGTCTTTTAGACATCGGTGGTACTTAGAAGAGTTAGTGGGAAGTTTTTGATCGTATGAAAATAACTTATACCTCTCATAAACTCTTATCTCATTCCGATAAGTTTCTTGTTCAAATTCCTCATGTGGTAAAAAAAGCTTATTGAATAAGTGCTTTAAATGCACCCTTAGAAGCTGTCTTAAGGAGGGTCTATGCCAAGAAGAATAAGCTGGATGCTGGGAAATTAGAACCTTAAGTTGATATTAATTAATAACGGTCATAAGAGAATCACTGTAGGCAGTGTAGTTACTGCTGTTTAGTGACTTGACAGAGGAGTAGTCATCAGGAAGTTAGGGAAGGAATTAGAGCGATGGGTTGTTTTTGGACACTTTTAATGCAAGGATTTTGGACCTATATAATTTTTAAGAAATGAAAACACAAGTCAGCTTCATGGAATTACCTGATTGAAAATGTGCAAAAAAAAAAAAAGGAACACTTCTAGATGCATATTACTCCACACTTTTTTCTTCCTTTTTTTTATGTGGATCGAGTTATTTATCACCTATTGGAACAAGATTATTTTTGTTATAGTTATTAGTTTCTATCATCACAATGCAATCTTCACTTTGTTTTGGTTGATGTATTTTTGACAGATATGAACGCTTTCTAAAGATTATGATTCTAAGTGTTCTAAAGAATACACATCGTCCAGTTAAATTCTGGTTCATAAAGAACTACCTGTCCCCTCCTTTTAAGGTTATACGTTCACCCATCATACCACTCAATGTGTTTCATTTGTATGGGAACTTCAAAGTGGAACTAATCAGTTTTCTCCTTGAACTATTCTGCTTTGCTGTCTTAACAAATAGGATCTGATTCCTCGCATGGCTCAAGAGTATGGTTTTGAATGTGAATTAATCACGTACAAATGGCCTACGTGGTTGCATAAGCAGAAAGAGAAGCAGCGAATAATTTGGGCATATAAAATTTTATTCTTGGATGTCATTTTTCCCCTTTCCTTGGAGAAGGTAGCATGATTTTCTTCTTCAACATCAAATCCCTCACTTTTGTTTTGTTGTCATGGTGTTACATGCATCACATATGATCTTGACAAGAATGCTGGTAATAAAACTAAAATTTCTACATAAAAGTGTGTTTAAAGGCTATCAATATTTGCAGGTCATTTTTGTGGATGCTGATCAGATTGTCAGGACTGACATGGGAGAACTTTATGACATGGATATAAAAGGAAAACCTCTGGCATATACTCCATTTTGTGATAACAATAAGGAGATGGATGGCTATCGGTTTTGGAGACAAGTAAACGCCTCTGTTTAACTTATATCGTTTGTATTTTTAGTTATTGTGCATGAATTCTTGGGTTAGATGCAGCATAAATGTTAACAGAAAATGTTGACCATGTGGTATAGGGTTTCTGGAAGGATCATTTGCGGGGGAAACCGTACCATATTAGGTTGGTGATGACTAGTTTCTTGATTCTTTTGCGAATACAGTTGGGGTTAGTTCAGTTCTCTGATTGTTGTTTCCATTTTTGTTTGCAGTGCTTTATATGTTGTTGACCTGAAGAAGTTCAGAGAGACTGCAGCTGGAGATAATCTTAGAGTTTTCTATGAAACCCTTAGCAAGGATCCTAATAGTCTTGCCAACTTGGATCAGGTTAGAGGTTTGAGTCAGTACAGTATCTCTTGTTCGTTCATTTAGTTGTGAAAATGTCACTTGATTTTACAAGATTAAGTATGGTAGAATGGTTTGTATAATTCCAAAATGCATCAACACGTGAGGTCTCAATGCATAGTAATGAATACGTTTTTATATTGAAAAATATTACTTCTACAGTAAGGTTCAATCCCCAAACCAATTATTCACTTCAGAAAACTAGGGTCCTAACATTGTTAGCTGTTAAACTAGGGTCCTGGAATACCAATGTGACTTTAACGTAGATTCTGATGCGTTCTTCATTATTTAACTGAATTCTTCTTATTCATACGTAAGAAACAGGTAGTTATTTAAAAAAAAAATATGAATCCCTCCCAATTTCCAACCAAAGAAAATAACATAAAATGAAAACTTTACATTTTCACCATTACATGTTCTTGTTTTTATATTTGGTAATAACTTCATGGTTCATTTATTTGTAGAAATTCTGAATTTAATTATTCTAGGGGGTGTGTTTTATATTTCTTTTGCAGCCTAACTGACTTATACTTGTTTATTTAGGAATGTTAGCATGCTGTACCAAAATTTTAGCTTCTTTGTTTTATAGTGACTAAGTTATGGGTCGTTTAATGTGGTCTTATGTTGTTTTATTGATATGAATGCGTTTTTCATTTATTTCCAGTGTTGCACGTATTACCCTTGTGTATTTCATTTTGCTTTTGAGGGACCTTTCCTGAAATTTCTACTCTGGTTCAGGATCTTCCTAATTATGCTCAGCATGTTGTGCCCATTTTCTCTCTGCCACAAGAATGGCTTTGGTGTGAGTCATGGTGTGGAAATGCTACAAAATCAAAGGCGAAAACAATTGATCTGTGCAACAATCCCATGACAAAAGAACCCAAACTTCAGGTGAAAATACTTTTTGTTCTTGTAAATTCATTGCACCAATCCTTAACTCCACACATTTCTAACTTACCTCCGCTTCGACTTTTAGGGTGCGAGACGAATAGTATCCGAGTGGTCGGACCTTGATTTGGAGGCGAGTAAATTCACTGCACAAACCTTAGGTGACGATCTAGAACCTTTTCCATCCCCTAACCAATCAAAGGATTTGATTAGCGAAGGTGCATTCAAAGAGGACTTGGAATCCAAGGCCGAGTTGTGAACATGATAGACATGTTTTGAGCAAGTCAAAGTTCCTGAAAAGAATGTGATCCTTGATGCAATTTGGCACCCATGTAGCATATCTTTCGTGCCCGACTCATATTTCCATTCCACCAAACACAATTAACAACCGAGGAATGCAATGAAGATTTGCCTTCTCTGTTGATATGTTCCAGGATCATAAAAGAAAATTTTGATTAGAGATGTTAGTGAATTTTAATTTTGACGTAAATGCATTTAACGCGGACATGGTTCGCCTTCCGTGTCACCTAATCTTATTAAGTCTATATACCGGTAGTAATCAACCCCCTTCTCTCTTTTCTTATGTTCTTTTCAAGAATAAATTTTCACTACAGATAATGCTGTTTAGCAATTTATTAAGACAGTGACATTGTATTATTCTCTTGACTTTTGCTGATTAATTCTCTCTTGCAAATTGGGTGCATTTCTACGACATTCACCCCCTCATAAACTATTATATTTTCTTGTCTTTATAATAAAGTTAATCTCGTCCAGATGATTTAGATAAAGTATTGAGAACAGAGTGAAATTATTTATTCACAGTTCAAATATTGCATGCTACTTTCTTGTAAAGATTTGGGTGGAGATGAGTTGGTGTTTTATTTTGAATAGGTCATTCAATTATAGAGATCGCTGTGTTAGTTGCTGAATTGTGAAAGATTGATTTAGTAGTGTTTGGTTTAAGGTTTGATTCAATTACCAGATAATGGCAAAAGAAGATTTTAGTTCATTTGAGTGCAATGATGTCAAACTATAAGGTTAAAATCAATGTTATCCTGGACAAATGTCTTGAGTTAGTCTCGTAATGCCCACTACGAACCTAATAAATAGCAACATTCGGCCAAATTACAAAAGAATTTCAGTGGCAGTTGCATATCTCATCATGAATGAGGGTAATTGCAAATTTTTATCTCATGATAATATTAGCGTTTTTAGGGTAGATGATAACAGCTTAGCTTTACACATGTACTAGTTCACCCTGATTTTTTATCATGGTTGATGTAAACGTGATATTGCGGTGGGCATGTTGAAGGATTATGATTTGAAGTCGTAGATTGTTTATCCTTTGGGGGACAACATCCATAAACCATTTTCAGATTTTATGAATCTGTGACCAGACAGTTGAAATCCTTGTGTGAACCTCTAACACAAGTGTTCCACAGAAGATTATCAAACGAGACCAAGTGACATGGACCCAACCAAACTAAATGAGACCAACTGAAGAAATGTCCGTGACTTAGCACTGAAAACCAAACAACACGAAGTGCTGCAGCATTACCTTAATCTGGAAGGTTCTCATATATTCTTAAGAGGCCTTTTGAGCCTTACTGATGTGATCAAGAGTAATTTTATTTTAGTCTCTAATACGCATGCATACTCAAGTTGATCTCTAGAAGGGCTTAATAATTTGTCAAATCTACCACTCAAGTTTTTTCAACATATTTTAGTACGAGCTTTTACATTTTCATACATTTTATCATTTATCTCCTTTTTACACATTCTACCATCATATATTTTATTTTTCACTATCATAATTGGTAAAAAAAAAACATGTTTTCAAGGAATATATCAATGTTTTATTATTCAATTAAAATATGATAAATGAGATTATATAAGTGAAAATTAAAAAGCGAGATGATAAAATATGAAAGAAAGAAAAAAAAATTATAAAATAATGAATGGTAAAATATGTCATTGAAAATCCTTATTTGAATTTTACAAGATATTAAATGGGTTAACAATTTTTTTTCAACATTCTTTGTTTGACTGTAAAATCCATAAAAGATGGAGAAATAGAAAAATTTATTATTATCTCTGTTTCACCAAATAGAAAAGACTAACATTTTGTTTGCATAGGCTAGTAAAAAAATGAAAAAATGAAAAAGAAAAAAAAAGAGATAAAAAATAAATACAAACTAAACTTGTTTAAATTAAACTAAAGAGAATGAAAATGAGTGAAAAATAAAATAAAATTATTTATTATTAATAATTATATTTATCATTATTACTTTAATATATTATTTTTATTATTATTATTATGAGAAAATTGAAAAAAAGAAAACACAAATATTAATAAAATATTGACAAAAAAATCAACTATATAATTTTCTTCCACTTTTTGTTTATCCTTCAGTTTTTCTCGTTCAACCACACACACAGAAAATAAACAAGGAATGAAAACTCTAATCAAAAGATAAGTACACTTTTTTTCTGGATCATATTGATTTTTTTTTTTCATTTAAGAAAAATATATATTTTTTTAATATATGTCAATTCTGCTCAATTACTTACTGACATGGACAACTCATCTTATAGAGATTAAAACAAAATTAAACAGAGGATCAAAATAGAATTTTTTTTTAAAGATATAAAGTATTAATTAATAGATAAAATATTTTATGTATGTGCAAAAAGTTGAAGGTACACATGTTTTTTTTTGTAATTTAAATAAGCTACGCCATATTTTTTTTTCTCATAGAAATAGATGTAGTCTTATAATTATTTTTAAATAAATGTAAAAATTAGAGAGAAAATAATTAAAAATTAATAGTAATATAATCATGTTGCTTATCTAATTGTTGTCATTTATGAAAGAGTAAGTGTAGAGAATAATTAATTTTTCAATTACATGATAAAATGATTATTAATAGAGTAGTGATATTTTGACAACCAGAAATCATATAACTCTTCAAACAACTCACTTTTATTAATATAATAATTTATAAAATGATTTAATAAAAATAAAAATAAAATAAAACTATTATTATAATATTAAAACAGAGTTATTTACAGGAGTTGTATGGATTTGGGTTGTCAAAGTATCATTTTCCTTATTAATATTAGTTTTATAAAATTATTTAATGTTGTATTAATGATTTTACTGGTTTCAATACGCATCGCCAGTGTTGACAGGACCAAAAGTAAATGAGGAACTTTAATTTCATCGAAAACTTAAAAACAATATTTATTATATGATGTCGGCAAAACCATCCATAACTGTCCGCATGACGTGTCTTTCAATCAATGGATCACTCAAATGCCCAATCCCATTCTTTTGTTTATCAAAATCATTTTCTATTATAATAATTCCGTTGATATTACTGAAGAGAGAAATTAAAATATTATATTTTAAAAAATAATTATTATGATTTATAAATTTAAAAATATATTAAAAAATAATATTTTTAAATAAATTAGTTATACAAGAATGTAGACACATATAGGTGTTTTAATGTATGTATTTATAAAGGAATTCTTTTGTAATTATTCTTTTGATGTTATTGGAAAGAAAAAAAAGACATATATTTAAAAAAGTGAAATAAAATAAAATAATATATTCAAAAATTAATTATAAAAATGTTGAAATATCGAAAATATGTAGTGCAAAGATTTGATAGTGAGAGTTTGATTTTCTAATATTTTTTTCAAGAAAAAAAGTTTTAATTAGAATATAAATGTATGTATAACTCAAACTTTAGTAGCATCCATTCAATACTTATCAGTTGATTGATTTTTATTTTTTTAAATGTTATATTAGACTTATTTAATAGTGAGTATTTTTAATCAAATAGAAAAACCTTTTTATTTTTTATTGATTATATTTCTTTATATTAATAAATATTTGTTATATAATATGTATGTTTTATAATTTTTTATTTTTTGTTCCTCTAAATTTTTTATATTTAGTTTGTAAATAAAGAAGAAGAAGAAATTAGATCATAGATTTTTTTCCCCTCTGTAGTAGATTAATAAGAACAAGAATAGAAGGAGGTAAATTTAAATTATTTTTTCTTTGGTAATATATATATATATATATATATATATACATATATATATATATATATATATATATATATATATATATATATATATAATTTCTCAAGAGACAAATATGTGAAATAAATACGGGCTTTATTATTTTTTAAGTTTAAGTTCTTACCTAAACTTAAAAAATACAACATTTTTTTATATTTCATTAATAATTAAGAGGTTATTTTATTTAGTTTTATTATTACAGTAATATATATTATTTATTTTCATGATAATAAACTGTTCAAAGAATTAGGTAAGAATAATAGTATATATTGAAAACAAGAATCCATTTCTAGACCTTAAAAGCAATAAATAAATTATAATATTTTTTAAAACTTGATTTTAAAAAGGAATAGATAGAATAATATTTTTCTTTAAATATTTGAGTGCACATATATTAGATTTCATGGTATATTTTGATGTGACATGGTTCCAATATAGTTGTGTAAAAAGGTAAGATAAAATTAGTTGTAAAAGGGGAATAATATAAAGTGATGCGATATTGATTTGCTTCTAATCATGGTTTTATTACAAGATATGGTTATTGGAAATTAATTTAATAATAATTATTATTTAGATAATTTATATATATATATATATATATATATATATATATATATATATATATATATATAACATTTTCATTTTTAAACCAAATCATTATATTTATCATAATTTTGAGGGGAAAGAATAAGTTAATGTGATATAAAATGATGGGGTTAGTTTACAAATTTGGATTGGTGAGTTTGTGATAACATGACCCAACCAACACTACTTTCAACTTTATTCATTTGAACCTTCAAATTTTGATTTTGATGGATGGTTTGTGAAGTTGGAGAATTGGAATTTGCGAATTGTTATTGTTGTTGGATTCTTTTGTCTTCCTGTCAAAATAACTGGACCAGTACTTTACGTGGCTATCTTCTCTTCATGCATTTCATTTCTTTCGCAAAATTCAAAACAAAACCAAACATCATCACAGAACCATGCAATCCTGTGGTTCTGCTCAAATCAAATGTGTCCTCAGAAATCATCGTAACCATATTCAACAACTTTGACATTCATTTCACTTTACTTTCTTGTCTTATGCTTCAAAATAACAATCATATTGAAAAAACTTTAAAATAATAGACCGACAACTATATATATATTTTTATTAGAGAATTTTCATTAAAATATTATTTAATTATAAATTAATATTATAATTTTTAATTTATATTAAATTGTCATAATTGTTAGTATTCTTTTTTATTAGTATATTGTGATTGTCTCTTGTTATATTTGACTCATCAAGAACATGCATAAAATCTAATTTTTCTCTTCTTGGGTCAAAAAGTTTAGAAAATTTTATATAGTAGTTAAAAATCACTCTAAAAATATAACGTTTAATCATTATTGTCAAATTTAACCATCTTATTATGAACATAAGAAATTATTTTAGTTTATTTTATGAATACATTTTAGTAATTATACATAAAATTATAATTAAGTTTATTATAAAATAAAATACGTCTTCCAGCCCTATACAATTTTTAAAATATTAACTATACTTTCAAAAGAAAATTATTGTTTTCGCCCTTTAAAATTAAAATATATTTTTGAAAATTTTTCTTATAATAACAATAAACAAAAAAATTTACATGAATGAGGGTCTTAAAAAAGTATTAATTATACATAAATAAATTTTGTATAATTCATGTGACCAATATTTGGTTTTTTATTATTTTGAATAAGAATAATAAATATATGTTAAAATTATAAAAAAAAGATATATTTGATATATTAAAAAAAACATATTTTTTTCTATTTTATATGATTTGGTGTCTTATTCTTATGTGGATTCTTAAATAAACTTAATCAATTAAAGTTCTATTATAAAAGCAATTGTACGGAGTAATCTAATAGGTGTTTAAATCATATTATAACATAAGATAAGTAATGTGAGATTTTTAAAATGTACCTCCAATAAAGTCTATCAGATTAGATAAAAAATATTTTAAGGACAATTTTTTGTTCAAGATAACAATAAAATATATTTTTAACCCACAAAGGAAAAAAATAATTTTTTTGTCCAAGACAATAATAAAAAAGAAAGAAATTAGATTATATTAGGTTGCAACATATTTGACATTACTAGATAAATTAATTTCTAATAAAAAATAAGGTGACTAATTAATCAAACATCTTGACACAAAGGTTCACAATTCAACCAACTTCACCATTTTTTTTTCTTTTTTTGGCATTGCTATCTCTTTTATCTCTAAAAAATGCGTCACAATACTTTTTTAATTCTTATTAACCCATTCACTAATTAATGCACCAAGTCCAAACCATTAATGGACATAACAAACAACCCAAATAATAATCAACCAGCATTCAAGTTGCTTGATTAAATGCAGAGACAGTCACCTCACAACAACACACCCAACAGTGAGAAACTTATATAAAATTTATGTATATATATTTAACCGTGTTGCTTAACTGCTATGGTCAGTGTCAGAGTTAAACTAAGTCAATTCAAAAGTCTACTATTAATTCCTTTGAGTCAATAATTTGTAACTTGTCCATCCAAATATTTCACATCAGAAAATGATGTTTCAATTATATGAGAGAGGAGAAAGGGAGAACTTTCATGATCTGCACCACACTTTTCTACTTCAAATTGCTTTTATCTTCCACAATCATATAATTAAACACCAAATTATCATATAAATGATAAACACATGTTTTGCTCACTCTTCCATGACCTTTTTCCTAGAGATAACCAACTTGTGATAGACCTCAGATAAAGTAAATAAGAATAACTGAGTGTTGTAGCATCAGAATAACTGTTAGCAATCAAGACCTCATTTTCCTCATTTTACTCATTAGTGCTACACTGCCTATTCTTGAACATACATATCTACAATAATATCATCATCATAAATGCTCTTGCTCCTTGTGTTGAGCTTGCCCTTTCACTCTATCCTCCTTTAACCAACATTTTCCTTACAATCTACTCTAAATCTCTTTCTCTATATCCCTCCTCCTTCAGGGATACATACTTGCTCTTTTTCGAAATCCATCAATATCTTGTTTAACTGTAGAACTAAGAATGGAGGGGAACTTCAGTTCATATAATCCTCAACTAGCCTCCAGCTTGAAGAATAGTTGCAGTAAGCAAGAGCATGACCATTCAGGGGAGGATCATCATCTCAAAGAAGATTACATGTCTCCATCTTTCAATCTGCGGAATATTTCAAAGCTCATTCTTCCTCCACTAGGCGTTTCAAGCCAGAATCTTGTTAACTCAAAAGGATGGATCATATCACCAATGGATTCAAGATACAGGCACAATTACCTTAACACTAAAATCACCATTTGGAAAAACCCTGTGTGTTTTTCTATGTTGCTTCTGATTAATTTTATTGTTTATTGAACAGTTTAAATATGATATCAGCTTGTTGAAGTTTTTAACTTAAGTTCTTAACTTGGTAACTATCAGAAAATTGATGAATTCTTGATGGTACTTCCTTTGAAGCAAATATATATATTTGATTTTTACCATATATAATTAGAACCAGCAAGAGAATATTATTATATAAGCTTGGTGTTCACAAATTTAAGGGGCTTAAAATTTTCATTTTGGTTGATGTATATGCAGGTGTTGGGAGAGTTTTATGGTTCTTCTGGTAGCTTATTCTGCATGGGTTTATCCCTTCGAAGTAGCTTTCATGCACAAATCTTCTAACATGAAACTCTATATTGTGGACACTGTTGTTGATCTTTTCTTCGGTATTGACATTGTTTTGACATTCTTCGTGGCTTACATTGATCGAGCAACCCACCTACTAGTTCGAGACAAGAAGAAGATTGTAGTGAGGTTAGTGAATCACTAAATTTTTGCTCCATTTGGTTGCAGAAACGACATATTGAATTTGTGGTTCCCTCTATCTAGATCTGGGCAAATAAGACGAAACTAATTTATTTAACATATTTCCAGATCTTGAAATTTCCACAACTAATCCCTATCTAAACATCTAAAATAATGGTTAGTGCAACTTTTCCCGTGCATCTATGGTATAGAAAAAGCGTAAAGAACAATTATTAATTATTGTAATAAAAAATTGGAAAGGATCATTGAGCATACACTATGTAATATTCTCTTAAGAGAAAAGTCAGAAAGAAGATGATTTGGTATAACATTTTAATATTCTCTCTCTGGAACCATGCATGAAAGATGGATTCTGATTTTTCTTCTGAAATTTCAATTCCCTTCTGGGATAGGCCTAATTTCCACCCAAAGTTTGAAATCTTTGATTTGTGTAAGACCAATTTTTCAGGGGTCTTTGAGGTGATAACCATAACCATTACTTTGCTTCAAACTATGAAAAATAAATCAGGTTAAAAAGGGACCAGCAATTTAAAGCAAAGGTCCAGTATTTAATGCAATCAGAGGTGGTGAATGATCTTTTAAAGTCACAAATACCGTCCAGGATTTGAATTTTAATTCTAAAAACTGGGATTTTCTTTTTCTTTTTTTAATAATTTTGCTACATATGTAAAAAATACTTATCTATATACATATTTATTTATTAATATATTTATATATTAAATTATTTAATATTAATTTATAAGTATTTATCACTTAAATTACAGTAATATTGTATGTTTAGATATTCAAATATATATAACACATAATCTGTTATCTTTTAAATTATATTTATTTTAGTTTAATTTTAACAATATAATTTGTCAATTGTCAATTTGAGATGGGTTCCTGATATCTGACCTACTTTATCGTCAGAATGAATTTTTTTTTTCATTCACATTTTTTAATGATTTTTGGGTGAATTTTATTTTAACAATAATACTCTTATATATGAGTTTGATTTTATTACACTGGAGTTTAAATTTCAAAAAGTATGAAAACAGGAATGAGTCTCGGAACTGTGATTGAAACATAAAAACCAACTCTAGAAATAAATTCGGAATGTTATATATATAAATGAGCTTTCTCTGCATAATGAAATGTGAGACAGTGGAGAAAAAAATATTGTCCGACCCATGTGACAAAAATTAAGAATGTAATGAATGATATCTGCGTAAGCTTAAAGTTTTTATACTCTTTGCATGTTGTCGCGTAAATCATTGAATAACATCATTCTTAGTTGCTTACTATAAACATTTTCTTTCAACAAGGAAACTGATAACTGATACGAAATCTTTGATGACAGAAGTTACCAACTTTACATTTGTTACGTTATTAGAGAATGATACTTGTTACTTCTCCTTTAAATGGTTCTTTGTACATTCATTGATTGATTCGGAAGAGTAAAGAATCATCAATGTTTATAAGCAAGTGCTGCCTAAACTGCTAAAAAACCATCTAATTTTATTTTCATAGATTTTTGAACTGTATATATGTGTAGCTAAGGTGGTGTTGTTTGGAAAGTGTAGTCCAATTAGTAAAGTCAAACAAAATGGTGATAGTATTGGAAATATTGTGACAGATACTTGTCTACATGGTTCGTGATGGATTTGGCATCAACTATACCATATGAGGCTCTTGGGTATTTGTTCACTGGCAAACACAAAGTGGGTCTCCCATACTTCCTCTTAGGCCTGCTTAGATTTTGGAGATTAAGACGAGTCAAGCAGTACTTCACAAGGTTTTCCCTCTTTCTTTTTCTTATCATCCACTTCGGAATTGGGTTGTATCATATTCAAGTTCATCTATCTGCATTCATTTTCCAGGCTTGAGAAAGACATCAGGTTCAACTATTTCTGGGTCCGATGTGCCAAGCTTCTTTCTGTATGTCATATTTCATTTCACTCCTGTTTCAAAAATACAGCAAAAACGAACACACTTTATATTACTAGTAAAATCTTATGGGAGACATAAATTCTAGAGTAGACCTTATTTCTTATTTTAGTAGAGCTTTTGTTTGTTAAAACTCTTCTTTGAAATTTGCACTTAACTCAAATATAATAGAAAAAAGATATATGCTTAAACCTACATTCACATATTTAGCTTTGACTGGATGAGATAAATCACAGATTATTTTTTAATGTTGAAGCATTTGTGTGAAATCTGGCAGGTAACTCTTTTTTCAATTCATTGTGCTGGGTGTCTATACTACATGCTAGCTGATCGTTATCCCCACCAAGGAAAGACATGGATTGGAGCTGTGAACCCAAATTTCCGAGAGACAAGCCTTCGAATCAGATACATTTCTGCCATGTACTGGTCCATCACTACCATGACCACTGTAGGTTATGGTGACCTTCATGCCGTCAACACCATGGAAATGATCTTCATTATTTTCTACATGCTCTTTAACCTTGGCCTAACTGCTTACTTGATCGGTAACATGACAAATCTTGTTGTTGAAGGAACTCGCCGTACCATGGAATTTGTAAGTATTTTTTAACATTTATGTCACTTTTCTAATAAGCTTTTAGGTCAGGTACATGCATTACCAAATAATTTATATAGGTTGCGGAATTGGAGATTTGTTATCCTGTTGTGTTAGATGATGATTTGACAGATAGTTATTTCTGTTAAAAGCTTGTCAGTCTTCACTCTCTCAAGATATAAATACTGGTGTATATGTGAATCTTGCTTAATAATGACATTGAATAGTCTTCACTGTCGAAGTTCTTGATCTCTTACTCCATGTTTTATGCTTTCTCCGCATCAGATTCTTGACCACTTAAAAGGCATCCATCCATGATGTGTGTTTCTTGGAATGCTGCAAGAATTATAAATAACTGCGACTAATGTCTCAAGTAACTTCATGCCATGATATGTGCAGAGAAATAGCATTGAGGCAGCCTCAAACTTTGTGTGCCGAAATCGGTTGCCTCCAAGGTTAAAGGAGCAGATCTTGGCTTACATGTGTTTGAGATTTAAGGCAGAAAGTTTGAATCAGCATCAGCTTATTGAGCAGCTACCAAAGTCTATTTGCAAAAGCATCTGCCAGCATTTATTTTTTGCCACGGTGAAGAAAGTCTATCTTTTCAAAGACGTCTCAAAAGAAATTATTTTGTCCCTGGTAATGAAAATAAACTTGATTCTAACAGTTCCATGACATAAATCAAGCATTGTGCAAATAAATTGATGGGATGAATTGTTGATGTGCAGGTTGCAAAAATGAAGGCAGAGTACATACCACCAAGAGAGGATGTTATCATGCAAAATGAAGCACCTGATGATCTTTACATTATTGTGTCTGGGGAAGTGGAGATCATCGATAGTGTGATGGAGAAAGAGAGAATTTTAGGGACACTACATACTGGGGACATGTTTGGAGAGGTCGGTGCTCTTTGTTGTAGACCTCAGAGCTTTACCTACAGAACCAAAACTCTCACACAGCTCCTGAGACTGAAGACCAATACCCTTTTAGAAGCAATGCAGATTAAAAGGGAAGACAACATACAAATACTCAAAAATTTTCTTCAGGTGGGACTACTATCTTGGCTCGTTGGTTATAAATCTTAATGCTTATGGTCGGTTTCAAATCTGAAAAGTAAGAAATGTGATGCAAATGCAGCATTTCAAGCAGCTAAAGGATCTGAGTATCAAAGATTTGGTGGCGGAGAATGCGGAAGAGGAGGACCCTAACATGGCTGTGAACTTGTTAACTGTGGCAAACACAGGCAATGCTGCTTTTCTAGAGGAGCTTCTAAGAGCAGGTCTGGATCCTGACATTGGCGACTCCGAAGGGAAAACTCCATTGGTATGTTCTTGTCTAATATTAATGTTCTTATTCACCCTTTTAAATATTTCTTTAAATCAGTTAAAAACTTCTAACTCTAAAATTGAACTTGAATCTCTGGTCCATACCTGTGGACCTCTTATCATAAAGACTTCAACGCTAGCTAGAGATTTATTTCTCAGAACTAACAATTTGTTACTTGTTGAAGTTGAATAAGTCAATTAGTAAATTCTAATACGAATGCATTTCCCAACAAGGAGCATGATCTTTTTTACTGAACAAACACGTTTTTAATCTCAATTGAAGACCTACAATGGTTGTGCAGCATATAGCAGCATCAAATGGGTATGAAGAGTGTGTTAAAGTCTTACTAAAGCATTCATGCAACATACATATAAGAGGTACAATATACCTATTCCCTTGCTTTAACCTACATTTCCCTCTTCATCGTATTTCACTTTCATGTACTGATTTATATACCATAAATTTGCAGACAAGAATGGTAATACTGCACTATGGGATGCTATAGCATCAAAACATTACTCCATCTTTAGACTTCTCTTCCAGCTTGCTGCTCTCTCTGACCACAACACAGCAGGCGATCTCCTTTCTACAGCAGCCAAAAAAAACGAATTAACAGTGATGAAAGATCTTTTAAAACATGGATTAAAAGTTGACTCTAAAGATCATCTTGATGCAACGGCAATCCAAATTGCAATGGCAGAAAATCATGTGGAAATGGTTCAGTTTCTTGTCATGAATGGTGCTGATGTATCTGATGTACATAAACATGACTTTGGTTCATCCACCTTAACTGAAATGCTACATAATTGTGAAATTGGACATCGAATTAATGTAATTGAGTGCATGCCCGATGAAGCTGTAATAAAGGAGAAACATCAAGAGGAGGAACATATTGGAGGAAGATATAATGGACCAAAGATTGCGAGAGTAAGCATATATAGAGGTCACCCTTCAGTAAGAAGAGAGAAGGGTATAATGCAAGCGGGGAAGCTAATAAGGATGCCTGATTCATTACAGGAACTCAAGACTATTGCTGGTAAAATTTCAAGTATCCATCAAGTTAATATTCAAATTATGAAATTTTATATTTTCTTTGTTTATGAAGAGAGTAATCTCTACGTCAATTTTGAGATTGTTGGTAGATATAATATATACACCTGAATTTATTGCATTGGATTTCTTTAGGAATAGGTTCTATATAACTATAATTTGCATACTTTTATTTAAAAAAAAATATACTCAAATTATGAAAATCTCCACTAATCAAAATTCAAACCCATTTGTCATTAAATGATCATCTACATCGTTCGAGGAAGAAAAATTTATTTGTGTATGATCTTCTTCAACAGGTGAAAAATTTGGGTTTGATGCAAATGATGCAATGCTGACAAATGAAGAGGGAGCAGAGATAGACTCTGTTGATGTGATCAGAGATAACGATAAACTGTTTTTTTGTTGAATAAGCTGAGATGCAAAGATTTCAAGTGTAAATAAATAATCTTGCACAGCAGATTTACACTTTTTTTTTTTGTGTTGGTAATTTTTTCTTCTCCCTGTAGTAAGTCACAAAGAAATGGCTTGTTTGCAAATTTTTTTCAGCAGGCTCTTAGCATGTTTCTGTTAGTAATCTGTTATATTTTCTCTTACACGTATCTTGTAATTGTATATGTGCCTCTGTTTCATTCATAATATAGTGAGCCTGTTCATCTTCTCTGGCCTTTTTTTTTTCTCATTGTTTTTCTTTGTTATGGTATGAGAGCTCTTCTTTTGAAAAAGAGCTCTGCTGCGCTTCCCTTTCCCTTCCATCATTGGAGACTCTGATCAAACACTTAGAGTGCATAATTACCTTTATCTTCATCCTAGCGAAACCCAATCATCACTCTTATTTCTCCTCTTGATTCCACCAACTATCATTCATGGAGCTGTTCAATGTTAACAACCCTAATGCGAAGTATAAGGTTGAGGTTGTTAATGAAATTGCATGACAACCATCGATTTCCCATCCACTACATAGTGCTTGGCTCCGATGTAATAACATGATGGTTTCTTGGATTGTACATTCGATTGCAGTTTCTATTCGTCATAGCATTTTGTAGATGGACAAAGCAGATGAGATATGGAGTGATCTGCATTCTCATTATTCTTAAGGGAATCTTTCATGAATGTCCGATCTGCAATATGAAGTTTTTTCAATGAGAGAAGGCGATCTTTCAGTTACTGATTTCTTTACTAAACTTCAGATTGTGTGGGATGAGTAAGAAAATTTTAGTCCAGACCCGGTTTTCACTTGTTCCATCAAATATTCGTGCCAAGTTTCATCAATTATTGCACAGTGAAAGATTCAAAATAGAGCGATGCAGACAGCAATATCTGTTCACATATTTTACTTATGGATTTCTAAGATCTTTTCATATTGTACAATAAGATGACGTAGGATCAGACGCATAGCTGGACAGTTATTGAGCCATTAGTTGTTAAATTGTAACTGAATCAACAAATTCCTTATATATGATTTAAAATGGATCTTATATTTCTTTATAAAAAATATGAATCGGAATTTGAAGAAGAGGTCGTTGTTCAGATATTTCTTTATAAAAAATGTGAATCGGAATTTGAAGAAGAGGGGAGTCTTCGACCCCCAACAGATAAAGGAGGATTTTTTTAATGTAAGACAATTTTTTATGTAATTTTAATCAATAAGATCTATTATTCAGTGTCCATTTTAATTCTTGGACTCTATATTCTTCTTGGTTATTCTTTGAGGTCTCCTACAACAACCATAACAATTGATATTATGAGGTGACCTTCCAAGTTACGATTCCACCATAGTTCATAATACCAGAATTCAAACGCATATTCGTGAAATTGAAGAACGTTTCAATACGCTAATGGAAGAATGATTTATGAAAATTGGAGCTTCATTGAAGCGCACGATCGAAAATATGTTTCAACGCTATGAAATTTTTTGCTTATCAGGTTCTGGTGTTTCTTCTCGACCTTATTCATGTCACACTAGGCTCGCACGTTTGAATTTTCCCCGATTCAATGGCGACAACGTGAATAACTAGATCATCCAGTGTTAAACTTTCTTTTCGATTGATCAAACTTGAAGAATACAAGGTGTGATTGGTTGTGGTCCATTTTGAAGGCAAAGCACTTCAATGACACATTGCGTATGCGAAGAATGTGGGACTCGATAAATTGCCTTCATGGAACGATTATACGAAAATCTTGATTGAGAGATTTGGTGAAGTTTGCGAGGATCCAATGGTTGAACTGATGAGACTTAGATAGAAAGGCATCGTCACTGATTATGACACTGACTTTAATGCAATTGTTTTAAGAATTGACTTGCCTAAGGCCCATCACTTGAGTTTTTTTCTTGGTGGTTTACAAATGGAGATTCAAATGATGGTTAGAATGTTCCAACGAACCTCTGTTATGAAAGTCTTTTCCCTAGCTAAGATGTATGAAAATAACAATGTCACTAGCATGCAAGCCAAACCATTCTCTAAAACCCTCAAACCTAACCCTATAGCAAAGCCACCATTATTATCAAACCCTTCTAAAACCTTAGAACCTACAAAATCTAAAACACAAACCACTAAACAGCTGACTCCTGCCTATATGAGTGAAAGAAGGGCTAAAGGTCTCTGTTATTTTTGTGAAGAACCCTTTACCCCTACCCATAGCCAAACCCATAAGAAACTTCAATTCCACGTCATGGAAATAGCTGAGAATTCTGACTTTGATGATGACCCAGGACCTACTGAAAACCCTCTTGATGAAACCAATCTAGAATCCTTGATTTCAATAAATGCCCTAACTGGAATAGCCAAATTTGGGACCATGAGAGTCACTGGCCAGGTAAGACAGAAGCCCCTGCACGTTCTCATTGATAGTGGGAGCACCCACAATTTCTTAGACGTTAATGTAGCCAAGAAGCTAGGGTGCAAAATTGAAGATATAGATCCTGTTAGCGTAATTGTGGCTGATGAGGCTAGAGTGCAGATTAATACTATGTTGAAAGGGTTCTCTTGGCTTATACAGAACACTACATTCAGTTCAGATATCTTGCTATTATCCTTAGTTTTGCTGTGATATGGTTCTTGGTATAGAATGACTGATAACATTGGGGGATATCACATGGAACTTTGACAAGTTAACCATGGAGTTCACTGCTCAAGGAAGAAGACATGTCTTGAGAGGAAATTCTTCTACAAATATTAAGACAATTAGGAAGCATCACATACATAAGACACTGGCTGCAGAAGTTCACATTTCAATGTTACAAGTATGTGAGTCGGAAGAAGGATTGTTGCTCCATTCCCTGTCCACTCATGCTACATCTTCCTCAATTCCTAACAATATTGATAAGTTGCTACTTCAATATGAAGATGTGTTTGCAGTACCCACTACTCTACCACCTAGAAGGCCAGATCATGATCACAATATTCCCTTGGTACAAGGAACTAACCCTGTGAATAAGAGACCCTACAATTATTCTAAACAACAGAAGGACATAATAGATGAATTGGTACAAGATTACTTAAAGAGTGTTGTTATTCAGAATAGCAGTAGTCCCTACAGCAGTCTGGTAGTGTTGGTCAGTGAAAAGGATGGAAGTTGGAGGCTTTGCATTGATTACAGGAACCTCAATAAGAGAGTACAATAAAAAATAGGTTCCCTATACACTTGGTTAATGATCTATTGGATGAGCTACATGGCTCTACTGTATTTTCCAAAATTGACTTGCAGTCTGACTATAATCAAGTCAAAATGACAGAGGCAGATGTACATAAAACAACTTTCAAAACTCATTCGAGGCATTATGAGTACTTGGTTATGCCTTTTGGCTTAACCAATGCCCCTGCCACATATCAGCAAAATAAAAACAAAATTGAAAACAAAGAAGGTTTGTTATTCTTCGTACTCTTAATGAGATACATGCATTCCTTATATATAAAAAAGATACAACTGTACAGCTCAGCAAATATTCTAACAACCTAACAAACTAAGGATAAAAAAATATTTTTATATATTTACACAAATTGACGTACACCAATACCCCCTCAAACTCATGTGGAAGATTTGTTAGAGGAAAAATCCTGCACATGAAGTTTGTTATTAAGAACTTTAAATCTGGAAGGAGATAGAGGCTTGGTCAAGATATTAGCCAATTGATCCAAGGTAGGAACATGTTGAATCTGTAATTGCTTAGCCAACACCTTCTCACGAACAAAAAATACATCAATTTCCATGTGTTTAGTACGACTGTGAAAAACAAGATTATGAGCAATAGGAACAACACTCTTGTTGTCACTTAACAATGTAGGAGGAGAGAAGGGGACATGCAATTCTTTTAACAATACCACATTTCATGGCCCAATGAATTCAGTGTTTCGAGAATATTTGAGGAGGTTCGTGTTAGTCTTTTTTTATGACATTTTGATTTACAGCAAGGACATGGAGGGTCACTTGCATCATTTACAAACAGTCTTGTCTACCATGAGAGCAAATGCCTTGTTGGCCAAAAAATCTAAGTGCTACTTTGGGGTTACTCGAGTAGAATACTTACGTCATTTTATCATTGGAGAGGGAGTCTTTACTGACCCTACTAAGGTGGAAGCAATGAGGAATTGGCCACTTCCTTAGACCCTCAAACAATTGAGAGATTTTTTGGGTTTGACAGACTATTATAGAAGGTTTGTACGGAGATATAACACCATAGCCAAACCACTAAATGACATGTTGAAAAAGGATAGTTTTTCTTGGTCTGGTGAAGCCAAGCTTACACTCCAGTGTCTTAAGGATCAGTTAAGCCAGGCGCCTGTATTGGCCTTACCTGATTTTACAAAGACTTTTATAGTGGAGGTTGATGCCTCAGGAGTAGGGGTAGGAGTTGTTCTCATGCAAGATCACCATCCCATAGCTTTTATAAGCAGAAGCTTGAATGTTCAACAACAATCCTTGTCAATCTATGAGAAGGAGTTACTAGTTGTGGTGTTTTCTATACAAAAGTGGAGGCATTACTTATTACCTAAACAGTTTGTAATCAAAACGGATCACAAAAGTCTCAAGTATATTCTTGACCAGAGACTTTTCGCAATTTTCCAACAAAAATGGTTTTAAAACTTATGGAATTTGATTTCATTATTGAATATAAGCAGGAAAGTGAGAACCAAGCTGCGGATGCACTTTCAAGGGGTTGAATGTGCTACTATTTCTACTCACCAACCAGATTCTGATCTACTAGAGAGAATCAAAGCATCTTGGCAAGGTGATGATGCCTTACAAAAATTGATTACTGAAATTACGAAAGATCCTTCTTCACATAAGGATTTCTCTTGGTCAAGTGGAGAATTAAGGAGGAAAGGGAAGCTGGTCATTGGTAAAAATCTTGAATTGAGAAGGAGAATACTTGATTGGTTGCATTATTCATCCTGTGGTGGTCATTCAGGGAGAGATGCCTTTTATCAAAGAGTCAAGAAAGTGGTATACTGGAAAGGATTGTCTAAGGATGTTAAAAGATTTGTCCATCAATGTACTACCTGCCAGCAATGTAAGTATGATAATTCTGCCTCTCCTGGGTTGCTACAACCACTTCCAATCCCTGATCTGATTTGGCAGCACATTACCATGGACTTCATAGAAAGTCTTCCCAATTCCTTTGGAAACAGGTGATCTTTGTTGTTGTTGACAGACTGAACAAGGCTACTCATTTCATAGCATTACAACACCCATATACTGCTTCTGATGTGGCACAGTGCTTTATGGATAATGTCTTTAAGCTACACGGTTGCCCAACTTCAATAACAAGTGAAAGGGATCCGATTTTTGTCAATCAATTCTTGAAGGACTTCATGGCTTACCAAGGGATTCAAGTTCAGCTTTCTACTGCTTACCATCCTCAGATAGATGGGCAGACGGAGGTAG